TGACTTGATTGTGACCGCAGAAGTGGTATTGTAGGTCCAGGCGCCACCAGCCGCGGTCTTCATGCAGGAGCCACAGTGCCAGATCCCCATGGCCCGCCTCTTCATCTTGGGCTTGCCACAGAAGGAGCAGGTGTACTTGCATGCTGGCTGATTTCAATCTTCTTCACCATTTTCCGGAGGGAGGCACCATAGTGAGCCCATATTTACCGACAATGTGGACCTTCTTGGCACTTAGCTGTGTTGATGTGAGGAGGCCCAAACCCAGAGAGTGACCTAACTTTCTAGTTTGAACGTTTTTTTCCCCACCCTTAATGTGACTAGGATTTTTTTTTTGTACTGGGAACCCAACTTAGGACCTTACACTTGCTAAGCATGTGCTGTGTCACTAAGCTATATCTCCAGCCCCAATTAGATAATTTTTTTGTAGTGTCAAAATATTTTATTTTTAGGGCTGGCCAAATAACTCAGTGGACTAAAGCGCCTGCTTAGGCAGAGTACGGGGCCAGGGTTATGATCCCTGGCATCACAAGCAGTGCTGGCCCCGCCATAGTGGCAGACCACTATGAGCCCAATCTACGTGGTGAGACCCTGTAGATCCTGCACTAAAAAGAAAAAAATTATTTTTATATCAATGAAAATCCAGTGTTCCCTGCGTATGCGTGGGGGATAGGTTTCCGGGCTGTGCTTTGATCTGTCTGTGTTCCCAGTGCGCAGTGGTACGGTGTTCACACACAGCGCTGCGACCCTCCCCTGCAGTGCCTGCGGCCATAGCTGCTTTGCTAAAACACCTATTAATGTCAGTAGTTTGTAAGTAGTCACCCATGCATCGTCCAGGGAATGGTGAAAAAAATTCTGTGCGCATAAGTACAGACACAGTCTTCGTTGCATGTACCTGATCCCCCAGGTTGATGTGTGGGGGTGGAGGACAGGGATGCAGAACCCAGGGTACAGAGGGTGGCCTGGCTGTGCCTTTGTCCCAGTCAACTATTGGTGGCTTCAAAGCACTGTCTTATTTTTCCATTGGGAAGCAAAGTGTTGGTGTGGTGCTTTTTCTGTCCTGGATGATGTGGCTACGTGGTTTTGATACTGGGTGCTGTAAAGGCCCTGCCAAGGGTCAGCCTGTGCACTCTTTCAGGTGACAGCCAGAGGCTTTGCGCAGTATGAGCTCTTCAAGTCTAGTGTCTTGGACGACACAGTCTCCCCGTCACACACAGCCATCACTCTGGATATTTCCTGGAGCCCTGTGGATGAGATGCTTCAGGTCCCCCCTCTCTCTTCAGCTGCTACTCTGGTAGGGGAGCCCCCTGTCCTCTCCTTGCCCCCGAGGCCACCAGGAGGGACCCGCTGGCTCGTGGCAGGCCGTAGCAGGGTGGGTGCTCCTAAGCCTGTGACCCCTGGCTGTGAGGCTGGACCCTCCAAAGCCCCACTGCCCCTGAGGGGTTGGGGGCGGCAGGAGTTCTGCTGGAGAGCTGACCTGTCCGTTGCTCCCGAGCCCACACTGTGGTGCTTAAGACTTCTCACACGGCCCGGGGTGTAGCTCAGGGGAACAGCTTCTGCCTAACAAGCACGAAGTCATGAGTTTGATTCCTGGTTCCAGAAAAAGAAAAGGAATTTTCTTGTGGTTAATGAGTCTGTTTAAGGAGAGCTCAAGTAGAATCCTCAAAGTGACTTACCCGCTCTGTTTTTTTTTTTTTTTTTTGAGGCGCAGGGTCTTACTATATAGTGCAAGCTGGCCTTGACCTCACTTATATAGCCCACGCTAACCTCAAGCTCACAGTGCTTTTCCTGCCTCAGTCTCCTGAGTGCTAGTATTAAATAATTTATTTTTAATCCTGTGTTTATATTTGTAGGAATCTTAGAAAACTTATCAGAATTGAGCCAGGCTTGGTGGTTCATACCTATAATCCTAGCTGCTTGGGAGGCTGAACAAGAGGATCATGAGTTTAAGGCCACCTGGGTTATACTGGGAGAGCCTGTCTCAAAGATAACAACAACAAAAAATAAGCTCAGTGGATTAAAGCGCCTGCAAGCAGGCACAGGGGCGGGGTTTGATCTGGGCCTGCTGTGCTGGCACCCCCCCCCAGCAATTGATTTTATTTATTTATTTTTGTGTGTATGTGTGTGTGGCCAGCTCAGCCCACCAGGGGGCGGGGCTGGCTGGCATGTGGTGCTGGAGAATTGAACCGCAGTCCCTGTGCTTTGCTAAGGTTGTTCTAAGTAGGTGCTTTAGACCACTGAACCATCTCACCAGCCCCAGCAATTGAGACAGCGTGGTGGCTCATGCCTGTAATCCCAGCACTTGGGAGACTGTGAAGAGGCAGATCACAAGAGCCTGATGTAGTAGTGAGACCCTGAACACCCTATAGACCCTTCCCTAAAAATACAAAAAAAAAAAAGAGGAAGGAAGGAAAGCTAGAATTAGTAACAGTTTATATACAAGATATTTGATGGAATGTTATGACTGTGTTTCTGAAATACTAAAAAGAAAACTTGAATTTTCAATGGGAAATATATTTCCATGATGAAATATTATATAGCTTTATGAAAAGTTTTGTTCCTTTTGTTGTTTTATGTATATGTGTTTTTTAAATAGCACTCAACATGTCCCTAACTTTCCCCCCTTTTTTTAAAATTTGACATAGTATCTCAGTTAACCAGGCTGGCCTCAAACTTGTGATCCTCGTATCTCAGCCTCTCAGGTAGCTGGAATTATAGGATGTGCTACTGTCCCCAGTTAAATTGTCCTTAATAATCAGAAAAAAAAAACTGGACATAGTGACACACACTTGTAACCCTAGCACTTGGGGGGTGAGGCGGGAAGATTGCCATGAGTTCAAAGCCAGCCTGGGCTACATAAGTGAATTTAAGTCCATCCTTGTCTCAACAAAACCAATCAAGAAATGCTTCTTATTAAGTAAATTAGAAAATATGATATATACAACTATTTTTTTGAAAAGTATACATAAAGGTCTGTATTTTCAAAAATTTTTTAAGAACATAAATAAATATATTGACAGTGATTCCCTTGGGGTGATGGAATTATCGTTAATTATGCTCTTGTGCTTTTCCTGTAATAGGGGTTTACATACATTGACATCTACCTTTTTTTGGTACTGGATATTGAACTCAGGACCTTGAGCTTGCCAGGCATGTGCTGTGCCCCTGAGCTGTATCTCCAGCCTGACATCTACTTTTTATAAAGTGTTAAGTTTTGAAAACCATGACCTCTGGGCTATGATAATATACTCTGGTTTACTTAATACATATTGCTTAATGTATACATATATGTTCAGTATATATTACAAATATATATATATTGTTTAATATATATTTATAATATACTATCAACACATTTAACAAATATACTCATTGCATGAGGAGAAGATGGAATTATCAGGAGAACTGACTTAAGTACTTTTTAGAATATCAAAGTGGAATCAGGAGCGCCCAGAGGTTGCCTGACTCATCTTCACAGAGAACTGAAATTTCTCCTGGTGAGTATCCTTCCAGAATTCTTAACTTCTTTTAAATTTCATGTGTTTATGAAAATGTTTGCTAGTATCTTAATTTTTTCAAAATTTGTTCCATATGTTGTATACTCATTGATACCTTTGACATTCTGACTTTATTTGGTAACTGTCCTTACAATTCAAGGGAGCACTGGCAAGTTAACAGTTGCAGATCTTTCACTTTTTCTACTGGAGTGTTGGGTTTTTGTTGTTGTTGTTCATTTATGTATTTGGTACAGGGTCTCACTACGCAGCTTGGAACTCATAGTGATCTTCCTGTTTTCAGCCTCCCCAGCACTGGGATTGCAGGCGTGTGCCACCATGCCCAGACTCAGACACCAGCCCAGCATGTCCTGGGGGCGGGACTGGTGTGGCATGCAAGACTGGGGATTAGACCCTGGTCCCTGCGCTTGCCAAAGCAGGCATTTAATCTGCTGAGCTACCTTGCTGGCCCTGGAGTGTTGGCTCTTATTCCTAAGATGGGGCCCCTTTTTGCTAGAGGGTCAGCTACCAACTGATTCTAAATGGATATACAGACCGGGCGTGGAGGTGCACGCCTGTAACTGCAGCAGTTCAGTAAGCTGCAGCAGGAGGACTGTTGTGAGTTTGAGGCCAGCCTGGGCTACAAAGTCAGTTCAAAGCCAGCCTGAACCACACGGAGACTCTATCTCAAAAAAACCCCAAAATTTATGTCCAGATTTCTCCAGAGACCTCCTAAAAATGGCACATAGTGTCATCTGTATTCAGAAATGTGTACGCTCTTTTCTTCGGAGACCAAGGAACTTCAAGTCACTTCATTGTGTCATATTTGCCCCCCGGAATCCACAGTAACTCTGTCCCCACAGGAGTAGAAGCCTCTCATTTAGTGCTAAGGCCCAGCCCACGTCCCCTCCCGGCTGCAGTCCTGCTGCCCCCACACTGGCTGGACCCCTCCCTCCCTCCCTCAGTCCCCGAAGGCTGGAACCCAAAAGCTCCTGGGAACGGCCGCTGCAGTCAGCCTGGGGTCACCAGTCCTTTGGTACCACCTGTGCAGGCAGCAACGCAGTTCCCTCCTGTCCCTGGGGTTCAGGCTGTGGGTGTTTGCTGTGGCCTCCATTGCTGAGTGACTGTGAGTAAGGACAAAGCCCTCAAGGTGGTAGTCACCTCCGCCTCTTGCAGTTCTGTCAGGACAGAATGACACACTACAAGTAAACCACTGCCACAGTGCCCAGCATGTCACGAGCGCTCCAGAAACGCCACTGTGCACAGAATTCTTAGGAAGGATGTCCTCAGTGGAGCCGCTTTGCGCTAACAAGTCTCTGGGCTCTTTCCATTGCCCATAGGTTTTGACTGACGGCTTGAGGACGGGTGTGACGGAGTGGCTCGAGCCTCTGGAAGCCAAATCTGCCGTGGAACTGGTGCAAGAATTTCTGAACGGTGTTTGTTTTCCTGATTTACTCTTGTCTAAATTGAGAATTTGTATATCGCTATTTTAAATATGAATGGTCTCTCTAGGCTTAATATACCTTTAGGTTGGGATGTACTAAAGCTATTAGGTTGGACATGGAGGGATAGCTTTTGTTCTGGAGTGCTAATTGTAAGGATCTAAGTGACTTAAAATTAATAAGACTTAGTTTGAAATTTACATAATACAGCCACATCTGCAGCTGCAGGAAGCGAGGGAGGAGACCATAACTTTTGAGTACCTTTAGGACTTGCCACGGGCCAGCCCCGTGTGGGGACGCTTGCTGTCACCCCAGTCCTGCCTTATACCCTGTACCTCCTTGGGAGAGCTCGGCAATTTACTAAAATCCCCAGCTCTGCTTCTCCTGTCCCCATTTCCCTCTTGGAAATAGGATTATGATGGGAATAGTTTGAAAATCAGAAAAATGAAATGAAGTTAATAAGCTTTTGCTACTTTCTAGAGTCAAGTAAGCTGGATGGATTTGGTGATTCTACAAAAAAAGACCCAGAGGTGAGTGATTATTAGCAGCCGGAACTGTGCCCTGGAGTTGCTTTTACATTTTGATCATGCGGTTACTTTTCTCAAGTGGCTTTGGCGTGGTCGTGTGTGTGCCAGTTGTTACGCTGTAGAGAAGTAGAGAGGACTCTACTGCTGTGAGGCACTGGTAGGCTAGCGAGGGTGCAGAGCTTGCTTGACAAATATTCTTACATGGGGGAAGGCTGGTCCCCTTCATTTGTTACAGTTTAAAAGGACTTGACCATTGCACTTGTTCAGTCCACTGAGGTGTGGGTGTCCTTGTTAATACGTAAACGAGAAGTTGCACAAATGTAGTCTGTGTGTTTATGAATTCACAGTTCCTCGGCAGTATTTAAACCTGAGGTTAAGGCAAGACAGATGTGGTGTTGTATGACTATAATACCCACTCTCAGAGGTGGAAGCAGGCAGATTGTGCTGAAAGTTTCCGGCCAGCCTGGTCTTCATGGAATGTTCAAGGCTGGCCTAGATTGGCAAAGCCCTGTCTTGAATCAATAAACAAGCAAAAAACCTGACCATCCTTTGACATCTGTGTCCTTTTCAGACAGTGAAGCATGATGCTGCTGCAGTTGACAGGTCCGTGCTCATCACGGTGCGGGGTGACCTCGATTTTGTTGAGCAGCTGTGGTGCAGAATGAGCAGCAGTAGGTGTCCAGCGCGGCTACGGGTGTTCATGCCGTGTTTGGGGTTTAGTATAGAGTCTTGGAAACAATGAAGTGTGTGCGGTCGGTCTTCTGTGGGCGTCGGTTGCTTGCCATATTCCTTGCCAAGAGGGGATTGGCACTCTGCTCCAGGGCTGTGCCAAGGTGGCCAGGTGTGGTGGTGCTCTCATGAGGACCCTTGCGCTCAGGAGGATGTGTCCAGAGGGTTACCAGGTGGGAAAGAAAGGAAAGGAATTGTACTGAGGCAAGGCAGCCCCGCATCCGTGCTCCTGTGCCTGTAACAGTACAAGACGGAGTTGTCCTTATGGCGTATTGATATGGGCCAATACATATACCTTCAATAAAATTTTAATTACTAGAAAAGCAAGCAACTCCTTAGGATTTTGCTGTATATGTTATTTGGGGCAACGTGCGCTTGTTGCTTGCCTTAGAAGTACATTAAGTCTGGGCTGGCGTGTAGCTCCGTGAGAAAGCGCTTGCCTTCTACGTGTCAGGCCCTGAATTCAGTTCTCCAACACTGTGCAAAAAAGAAAAAATACCTACATTTAATGGGGGTTTTTTGTTCCCAAGTTTTTCCTAATTCTCCACCCACAAATACAAATTTCTTTTTTTGTGTGTGTTTGTGTAACTTTAAGGTGGATGACATTGTTGGTCTGTAGACGTGTGAGAATCACATCAGACTGACTTGGTTTTCTAGGTGTGGTTTCCTATCAAGACCTGGTGAAGTGCTTGGCGCTGATCCTACAGAGTCTCCAGCGAGGTGACATCCAACCATGGGTAGGTGGCATGTGTTCTCGGGCTGCGTGACAGGTAGGAATGCAGGCACTGGGAGGGACTGCCCAGGTTTGTCCCATGTTTGTGTTCCTGATTTGCGGCTGTCTGGCTGTATAAATATGGGGAGATTCCTTTATTTCTCTGTATCCCAGGACCCCCTGTGTAGGGGTAGAAGGCCTACTTTATTATTTTTTTTAAAGGTTATTTATTTGGTGCAGAGTCTTGCTACGCAGCTCAGACTCATAGTGATCGTCTTGTCTTAGCCTCCCCAGCACTAGCATTACAAGCGTGGGCCACCATGCCTGGGTTCAGCGGCTGGCACGGCGTGTGGTGCCGGGGATGGAACCCAGGGCCTTGCACTTGCCATTCTGGCACTTAGACCACCAAGCTATCTCTTAGGCCTGAGAGTGCCTGCTTCAGAGCATCACGTCAGAGTTAACTGATTGACGTAAAGCACCTACTGTCTGGCCTAGTTGAGTGTTGTTTTCTGAATGTTTTCCTGTGCCACTGATGAGAATAAGAGCTAGTACACTCTCCGAAAAGCAGTTTTGATGATGCACTGAGGTCCTCAGTGTAGCCTGCCCCTGAACCAGTAATTCTTTTGTTAAACACCATCAAGAGCTCTTATGCAGAAATGTGTCAGGATTTTATGTGTCACAGTCATCATCATAGATTTGTAGGACCACAGAATGATAAATGGCCTCCGTTTGCCTCGTTAGTGGCGTGGCTGCGTGAGTAATGACTCAGCTGAGTGATGGCAGGCGCAGCGGTGACAAGTGAGGTAGAGAGAGGCTTGCAATGTTCCATTTATAAAAAGGCGTATCTGTGATTTTATATGCAAAACTTAATAGTCACCTCTGGTGGAAGGGTTACAAATGAGTATTTCTAACTAAGTATATTTGTACTTCATGAATTTTCCCACCAAATGTATACTATATTTACAATGAAGAAAAAGCTACATAAAAACTTTAAAAGATTCCTTATTTATTAGGAAATACTTAAAATAATATGGCTGCCCACTGTGATTACCAAAGTTAAGAACTTGTCTAGATGTATCAGACCCGGGGTTCAGTCCTCGGCACGGCCCAAAAAACTTTCCTAAGTGTGGATGAAGGTAGACTCCAGAGCAGGCAGGACGTGCGCCCAACCCAGCGTTCCTGAGTCTCGGTGTTTGAGTTGAGGGCATTGATATTTTCTGGAGAATTACAGTGAGAGTGAAGTGTTTACCTGTATAATCCTCCCGTGTACAATGAGAGCAACTCACATGAAACTAGTTTTAAAAAGGAAAGTGCAGAAGATTGTGATAAAAATTAGAAGTAACAGAAAGTAGTGGCGAATTGACAAATACTGACGTGTGTCTAAAGTGAATTGATTACCGTTTGGGATACATGTGCAGTCTCTAAGTTCAGAACTCTGTTTAACATGAGAGTCACCAAGTTAGTTATGTTGGCTGTGGTAGCCAGGAAAGAATTCCTGGTGACAAATGCATGGCCGTGGCTGCTGAGGGCCAGAGTTCGTTTTCCTGCAGCAGCACGTTTCTGTTGCAGAAGATGTCCCATGTGGGGGCAATATCCAGTGGCCTTTACATCAACTGGTGGGAGAAGAGACTTTGTAGTCGGGAACCTTCAAAGTGCCAACCTGACTCCTGAAGCTTATTGCTTAAGGCTGAGAAGTTGTGCATTCTTCTTAGGTGCTCTGGACTTTTTGTATTTTATTTTATTTTTTTATAGTTTCAAACAAATCTATTCTCAGAATAATGCACAAAAAGCACAGGATGACGCTACTGCTAGGAGCTTCCACCTTTCCTCCTCCTCCCCCCGCCTCTCTGAAAGCCAGCAAGAACACAGTTGAAGGAAACATACAATCACAAACAATGATCAGCTCTAAAGACAAAAGTTTGGTCCAAAAAACTCAACATAATTAATCCAATTACTGTTTAAACAGATAAAGTGGGAATGGCATTTTAGAAACTGACAGGCTTGTAACATGAGCTTTTATTCAAGTTATTTATTGAGTCAGGAGAGTAAGAATGCAAGTGTGACGTGTCTGTATAAAATTTTCTTTATTTCCAGCTCCACAGCGGGAGCAGCAGTTTGCTGAGCAAGCTCATTCATCAGTCTTATCACGGAACCATGGACACAGTTTCTCTCAGTGGGACTCTACCACTTCAAATGCTTTTGGAAATTGGTCTGGACAAACTGAAAAAGGATTATATCAGTTTTTTCATAGGTGAGTTCCTTCCCTAACTCAATTAAAAAGTACGTCCCGGCTGTCACCCACAGGCAGCAGGGCCTGACCCCGTCATCTGTGGCCCTGGTCTTGCCGCACACACTGTGAGGCGGAGACTTCCCGTCTCTGTCTTACTTTACACCCAGTAAGGGTGCTAGATTCCTGACGGCGAGCATCTTTGTTTGCTTGGTTTTAGTTCAGACATTTGGGATTTTATAAGTTAGCATCGTAAGTGAAACAAGTCTTTGGTGAGGTCCTAAGACAGGCTTTTGCGATCTACTTCAGGCAGGTCTTGGACTCATTTTCTGGCTCAGGCTGGCCTCAAGCTGTCGGTCCTCCTGCCCCAGCCTCTCAGGAGCTGGGATTACACCTGGGATCATGGTGTTCACTGCTGTCCCAAAGTGAGATCCTTTTTAAGTACCTAATGCTCAGTGCTCCTTATTGGGGCAAACTGTGATCAGTTTTCTAATAGGTGAGTCCCTTTCCTAACTTAAAAAAAATGATACAGCATGTCAAAGTACTGTTTATCTATGCTGTTATATGCCTGAAATAATGGTGCTTTGTAAGAAACTGTTGACTTTGGTCCATCTCTTTCATATGAGCTATGAAAATTTACCTAGGTTCCTTAATATGTCATGGACAATGCCTAAAGTTATATATATTTTTTTCTTCTTTTTTTTTCCTCCTTTAAATAGGTCAGGAGCTTGCATCTTTGAATCATTTGGTAAGTTAAATTTTTTATTCTAAAACTGGTTTTTATTTTCTTCAGCCATCCTACCTGCAGTTACTAATTCCTTATGATGTGCCGGTCTCTGCTTGAGGTCCTAGAAAACACCAATAGGCCAATTGGTGCCCTTTATTGTTACCGCCTGTGCAGACAAATGGAAGCATCCCCCATCCGAGTGATAGTCTCTCGCCTGTATACTCTGTCACTGTGCTGTGTAGCAGTGTCCAGCTCACACCACTGTACCGCACAGCTCCTGTGTCTCTAGAATGCTTAAGGAGGGCCTGCAACCTAGAAAGGAATACTTGTTTTATATTCTGTTGAGCCACAAGGTTCTATTAGGGGATTATTCTCCTAAGGGTTTAGGACGTCAGCTCAAGACTCCTCTCAGGTCCTCGAGGCCGCTCTCAGCCTTCACCACATGGTCCTCCCCACAGCATGACCATGTGAAGGATCGGAGCATCTCCAATGGCCACTGCCTTCTACAGGGCCCCCTGCTGGGGTCACCATAGTGACCAGGCTGCAACCTCTCTTAATTCGTAGTCAATTCCTGACCTGATCACAGCAGCCAAATCCAACCATGCCCTGGGCTCTGGGCTTACCCCAAGGGAAGGAATTAAACAAGATGCAGTCACGAAGTCAGAGCATTGGTGGCCGTTGTCAGATTGTGCCTACCGCATTTGCTGTGGATTATTTCGCTAAGAAAAGTTCTCAAAAAAGAGATCAGGAGGTCTGAGCATGTTATGACCCTGGAATATATTGCCAGATTTCTTTTCTGAAAGAGTGTAGCAATTTACCACTTGTGGGCTAGGGAGATTGCTCAGTGATCTAAGTGCCTGACCGGCAAGTGCACAGACCCAAGTAAGGTCCCCTGGTACTGCATGCCAGGCTGCCGTGCCAGCCACCAGAACTGGGCATGGTGGCTCGTGCCTGTAATCCCAGTGCTGGGGTGGTTGAGACACAAGGACCACTATAAGTCTGAACTGTGTAGTGAGACCTTGTATCCAATAGATAAATAGGTGGGGGGGGGGGGGGGGCTGGCCAGATAGCTCAGCAGACTAAAGCACCTGCTTAGGCAGGCACAGGGACTGGGGTTTGATCTCCAGCATGCCATGCCAGCCCTGCCCCCAGGATGAGCTGAGACAGTGACTGAGAAATGGTGGCCTGTGCCTCTAATTCCAGCACTTGGGAGGCGGAAAACAGGAGGATCACTATGAGTCCAATCTGTATAGTGCGAAACTGCAGACCCTGTTCTTTTAAAAAAAAAAAAAGGACAGTCATTCAACTGCTCAAAAAAAAAAAAAAAAAAGAAAGAAAGAAACTGACCGGTCACGGGTGAAGGGAAGCTCCTTGGAACACTGACTAAACTTCTTGGTAGCTGCAGTTGACTGTCTGTTTCAAGGCAGCCACACCATCAGCTTAGCAAGTGTGTAGTGAGCCTGCCTTTCTTTCCTTCCAGAGAGCTTGGCAGGGGTGGGGTGGGGGATTGGGTACCTGCGTGCGCTCTTTGGCGAGGTGGTTCTGTGATTTGCCTTTACTGGAGAGTACGTTGAGTCATTTACTTAGGACTTCATTTCTAAAGGAGTGAAGAGTGGTTGGTAGATAGGTGGTAACTCCCGTCCAAGTGCCTCCCCTTTATTTTTTTCCTCCGTAGTATCAAATGTAATCTAGGGGACATAGCTGTCTTCCTCCCCAATGTGCCCCTTTTCCTCGAACTCCCTGTTTTGCCTGTACTTTTCCAATCCAGGAATACTTCACTTCTCCATCGGTAGAGATACAAGAACAGGTTCATCGTGTTCAGAAGCTGCACCACATCCTGGAGGTCGTAGTCAGTTGCATGCTTTTTGTTAAGCCTCAGCACGAGTTCCTGTTTTCTTTAACACAGTAAGTATTTCCGCTTGTCTGCTTACATAGAGATGTTTTCTGTAAAATAGCACCCAGAATGTGTCCGGTTTTATGGCCAGTTAGGCTAGAATGCATTTGTTCACCCTGTCTGTCTGCACCTTAGCAGGGGTCCAGGTCAGGGGCAGAAGAAAGAAGGCTTGGGGTTCAGGAGGAATCAGGGTTAGCTGTGTTCTCACTTCCTTAGAAGTTTCTTCTCCCTCCATCTTGTTTTCTCACGTTAAAATGATTTAATAGCGTGCCATTAGATTAGATGGGGATTAGATGATGGAATGTGAGTGGGGTACCTAACATAATAGGTGCTTGAGAGGATTGCTTTGTCTTCCCCTTCCGTCCTTCTAAAACAGTCACATTAGTCGTCGGTGTGGGAACCAAGTGAGGTCCAGTCGCATGGCGAGACTGGCAGTGGCGTTGCTGTAATAGAGCTTCTGCCCCGTTGGACTAAAGACTCAATGGAGTCCTTCTCACGTGCGGGCTGCTGCTGTCTTCCGTGCATTGCAGGCCTCAGACTAGAAATAAATGAATGTTGTCGTTTCCAAATTTAGAATTTCCCCAATTATATAATGGGGAAGGTTTGAAATTGTTCTTATTCACAGAGTCTAAAACATATTTCACTGTAGATAGATGAGTTCTTCAATTCCCCAGAATCTGAAAGCCACGCAGCTTGTCTGTGTCTTTTTATCTCTTCTTAATTCTCATTGATGCCTCTTTCTTTCTCCCCATTGAATCTTTATTTGGGCTCAACTTAAGTATATTTTTATATTTATGAAAAATATGTTAACTATTGCCTTGTAAAAAGTGAAGCAGATTTCGGGCTGGGGAGATGGCTCAGTGGAATAAGCACTTCCCTGGCAAGCACAAGGGCCTGAGTTCAATCCCTGGTTCCACCAAAAAAAAAAAAAAAAAAGTGAAGCAGATTTCTTTTGAAAGAAAAAAGATCTAGGTTGTTGTGTATGGGGTTGTTTTATTTTCCTTTTGTGGCTATATAATCATTCTTTTTTGTTATAGTTAGTGGTACTCAAAAATGTTTCCCTATACACTTTATACTGTTAAAAAGCCTATATTCCCAAATGCCTCCTTTTTACAAAAATGGGTTTTTTTCAGATCCTGCATAAAATATTATAAACAAAATCCTCTAGATGAACAACACATTTTTCAGCTGCCAGTCAGACCAGCTTGTGTCAAAAACTTCTTTCAGAGGTGAGTAATTTCATAGTTGTACCTGGCGTCCAGCCCTGCTGTCATGGCAACTTTGGGCCCATGTTCCTTGGGGCCCTCGTGGCCCAGAGCTGCTAGACCACTGAACCTTACTCGGCGGGCTGCTCTCCAGCCAGGGCTTGGGACTTCCCCCGCTTCTTCTCACAGGCTGTGTCTGTTTTTTCTACATTGTGGAGCCTCTAGTCTTTCTGTGTTGCTTTCAATTTGCAATCTGTTTATAGAATAAGGAGGAAGGGAAAGTACAGCCAGGGAAATGACAGATCAGGAGAAAAATGATCAGGACAGTGAAAGGAAGGCCAAGTTTATGGCTGCAGGAGTGAAAAAACCATTCGGGACTGGGGAAAGCAGGCAACCAAAGGGCTGAAGTAATAGTGTGGTCAGAAGTTGCCACACGTGACCGCCTCCCCTGAATTTTCCCTCCACATGTGAAAGCCTTGAAATTTCTCTCATACTACCGCCCCTGTATGCTCATTTATTAGTTTATGTTTCAGACAGGACCTTCCTTTGTAGTTCAGGCTGGCCTTGAATTCACTGTGTAGCCCAGGCTGGACTTGAACTCTCAGGGATCGTCCTGCTTCAGCATCCCAAATGCTGACAATCCAGGCATGTGTCACCACACCTGGCTACAGGTTTTTTGGTTTGAGATAGGATCTTATTATGATGTTCAGTCTGGCTTTTAACTCACTGTATAGCCCAGGTTGGTCTCAACCCTATGTTGATCTTTCTGCCTTCGCCTCCCAGTGCTGAGATTACAGGCATATGCCACAGTATGTGGCCTAGAATAGTTTGTGGCACATCTGTAAAACTTACTTTAGGGGCCTGGGAGACAGCTCAGTAGAATAAGTGTTTGCCTGGCAAGCGCAAGGACCTGAGTTCAATCCCTGGTTCTGACAAAAAAAAACCCCAAAACTTACTTTAGGTCAGGCATAGTGGCACATGCCTGTAATCTCAGCACTTGGGAGGCTGAGGCAGGACCACCTCAAGTTTGAGGTCAGCCAGACTTCATTATGGAGACCTTGTCTCAAAAAACAAAAACAAAAAGAAATGCAAACTATTTTATCAGAAAAATAAGTTTAATAAAACTTTTGAAGAAAAAACTGAGTCAGGCATGATGTTGCACAACTGTTAAGAGGCTGAGGCAGGAGAATCACAGTGAGTTCAAGGCCAGCTTGGGCTACATAGTGAACTCAAGGCCAGCCTGAACTACAGGGCGAGACCCTATCTCAAAAAACAGAATGAAACAGAAAACAAACCAAGCTCCTTGTCTTCTTCCTTTTCCTTTTCCTTCTCCTGTTTCCTTTTTTCAAGTAGCCCTCATTAACCCCACGTGTTGCACGGAGCAGCAGCCCAGCACCGTCCTCTGCTCAGTGCCTCCCTCCCTGTCTCTTCTGTAAATGGGCACCACGTCCTGACCCTCGGGGCGCCCCTCGACTCTGTTCTTTCTCTGGAATTTCATGCTACCAGTGCCTTAGTATTTCACATCTGTGTCACCCACCTGGACTCTGATAAAGCCTTTTGGCTGTTCTGCCTGCGTTATCTTCCCTCTTTATGCTGCTGCTGACATTCTGCTCTGGAATGGGCATCTGGCTGGGACTCGCTCCTGTTACCATGAGGACAGTAAGCCCAGCGCCTCAGTGGGGCCTGGCCCTGCAGCTGTATCCAGGTGCCACCAAGTCTTGCTGCTTTTCTTCTGAGTGAGGCCCGCTCTGCGCGCTGTCCCTCGGCCCGTGTGCTTGGCCTTCGCTGGGGACACTGTCTGCTTCATTGATGCTGTCATTTCACACTCGGCCTGGATGCCATTCTCTGAGGGATCTCTGCAGCCCCCAGGCTCAGCCAGCACCCTGCCTCCTGCTGTCCCCTAACCCACAGTGGTCCTCTGTGAGCTGTCCCTCTTGTCCCCTGTACCTGTGCAGGGTGGGAGTTTTCATCGCCTTTTCCCTGGTGCTTGGTGCTTACTGCATAAGGACATAACTAACCAACTGTAGAGGGAAGGAAGCAGGAAACGGCTGTTTGTTGTGTTGTCCTTACCGTTTTTCTTCTCTTCTCAGTGAGAAGCCACAGAAGTGGAAGGTAGAAATAAATGGTGGCCAAAAGAAGGTTAAAACCATTTGGCAGCTGAGTGACAGCTCACCCGTGGAGCACCTGATGCATCACAAACCTGGTAAACATGACTCACAATCTGCTCAGATAAATTATCCCAAGAGAAAAGAAACTAGGGCTGGGGAGATAGCTCAGTGGCCTAAGTCCCTGTCCAGCAAGTGTAAGGTCCTGAGTTCGATCCCCAGTACTAAAAAAAAGAGAAAAGAAACCAAATCCTACCAGGAGGAATCATTACTATAGCTCCTGTGTTCACTTTAAGTAATTGTCCTGAACTGTAGAATGATTAGACTTTTATGCTAGTCAACCTTGTAGAAAAATACAATGTGTGATAATCGTAGAAAAATGCTTTTCTCACTGGGGTGAAGGGCCTGTCACTGAATGAGGTCAAGCAAGAGGGGCGTCGAGGTAAGAGTGAGTGACAGGATAGAAACATGAGCTGTCCGCATGTGCACGCTTGAGGCCCTGCCATTGGGCCTTCTCCCCATGGTAGAAGTTGGCTAGGCTCTCGGGCCCTGTGAGTGAGAGCATCTCCCTCCATCCTCCTGGAAGCACTGTGCATATCTCTGTGCCTGTGGACCACGGTGCCCTGTCTCTCCACACAGCTCTAAGCGGCTGCATTGAGAAGAGTGCAGGGGTTCTGAAAGTAGATCTAATGGTTTTCTGACAGTCCAAGAAGGCTTTAAAGGCCGTAATAAGCCACTGTTAGGAATATATTTGATTTTTTCATGTCTGTTAATACTTGTTTTATATAGTTAGGTGCACTGGTGTTTGGTGCATACATGTTTATGATTGTTATCTCTTCTGCTTGGATTGTTCCCTTTACAAGGATGACTGACCTATGTCTTGATCAGCCTTGGCTTCAAAGCCACTGTGCAAATAGAACAGCTACCTTTGCTTTTTTCTGGGTTTGTGTCACATGGGGTATTGTTCTCCATCCTTTGACTACCAGTCTGTGAATTTCATTGTGAATTAAATGTGTTTCTTGTGTGCAGCATATTGTTGGATCTCGCTTCTTGATCAATTCTATCAGTATGTTTCTTTTGATTGGTGAATTGAGACTGTTAATGTTGATGGCTGTAACTGATACCTATTGACTTACCTTCTCATGTTATTATTCTGTTCTTGGCTCCTTTTTCCCTCTGTCTTGCCTGACGGGTTCATTTTGTTGAGGTTCACGGAATGGTGATCTGCCACTGCTAGGAATATAAATAGAGGCCTCTTTGACTGACATTTTGCAAATTGTTTGCAGAAAACAATGTCTCCCCAGATACATTTTGATTCAGATGTCATAGAAACATCTGTCAGTTAGCTGTGAGCCTTTTTTCTTTAGATAGGGACTCTGTAGTTCAGGCTGACCTTGAGCTCCCTGTTTAATCCAGGTGGACAATCCTTGAACTCCTGGCAACCCTCCTGTCTCAGACTTCCAGTGAGATTGTAGGCATGTGCCACCACACCCAGCAATTATAATTTCCTTTTTTGAACTCCCTATGTAGCCTAGGCTGGCCCTGAACTCACGGCAGTCCTCCTGCCTCAGCCTTCCAAATGCTGTGAGTATATGTGTGTGCCACCACGCCTAGCCCATAAGCCCATAAAATTTTTCGTTTTTTTGAGATGGGGTCTCCTATGCAGTTCAGGCTGGCCTTGAACTCACTTTGTAATCCAGGCTGGCCTCAAACTCAAACAGTCCTCCTGCCTCAGCCTCCCAAGTGCTAGGATTATAGTGTACACCACCACACCTGTGTTAGTTGTAAATATTAAGGCTAATAATGACTTTTTTTTTTTTTTTTTCTAAAGTTGCATGTAGAAGAGGGTTTTTTCCCCCTTTGTTTGGTTTTTCTTGAAGCAAGGTCTCACTATGTAGCCCAGACTGGCCATGAACTTGCTGTATTTCTCCTGCGGCAGCCTCCCAAGTGCTGGGATTATAGGTGTGCACCACTGTGCTGGGCCCGAAGAAGTTAAGATTTTCTTTTTTCAAGATAACTTATTATGTCATGCTCTTGAGTAGAACAGTTGACATCAAAAGCAGAAGGGATTGAGAATGTGCACTTTCAGTTGCCACAGAATAATGACTGAAGTTAGTGGGGGAGGGGAGGGATCTGGTGGAGCACTCACAGCCAGTGGTCTGTAGATGATAGCTGGCCGTGGTAGGGACACAGGGGCCACAGTGGTGACTGACCAGGAGTGACCACAGTCTCTTCCACATGGTAAGGGCCCATTTGTTTTTAAAATACAACAGTCGGTCTTTAGCAGGAAACATGTGTCTTAATTCATAGACTTTATTTATTTATTTATTTATTTATTTTTTATTTTGTGTGTGTCCAGCTCAGCCCACCAGGGGGCGGGGCTGGCTGGCATGTGGTGCTGGGGATTGAACTGCTGTCCCTGTGCTTTGCTAAGCTTGTTCTAAGTAGGTGCTCCAGACCACTGAGCCATCTCACCAGCCCTTTATATCC